GGCTGTTAAACAGGCTGAGAAGTGTCGGTATGGCTGTTAAACACAGGCTGAGAAGTGTCTGTATGGCTGTTAAACACAGGCTGAGAAATGTCGGTATGGCTGTTAAACACAGGCTGAGAAGTGTCGGTATGGCTGTTAAACACAGGCTGAGAAGTGTCTGTATGGCTGTTAAACACAGGCTGAGAAGTGTCGGTATGGCTGTTAAACACAGGCTGAGAAGTGTCGATATGGCTGTTAAACACAGGCTGAGAAGTGTCGGTATGGCTGTTGTAGCCATTACATGAAAAACAATGTATCAATAATTATACCTCCATAATTATAACTCTTTGTATACTATACATGGGTTGTTTTTGAATGGTTTGGTAGGGCTTTAAATCAGTAAAATCAGTATTCGATCAGTAGGTTATCACTTTTGTGTTCCTGTCCTATCACAGCAAGTTTTCTGCTACATTAAGCCTGGAATTACTTGAAACTTTGGTGTGTTTATGAACCTGATAGTATAGAATGTTGCTATAGTTATATTAATTACCTGAAAACTACAGGAGGTGATTAATTCAAGGCTTACTATTTGGCCGTGTTATGGATCTGATATCTGTATCTGATCCTACTTCTCTTATGACTTTTAACCCTGATACTGGACTTGGAATCTCATAAAAAGCCAAATGATTTGGTACAGTAGCTATATGTTATAAAGTAATTTTGCAAGATAATCACCCACAAGGACTTTTTTTTATCTCGAATTTGATGATGAGGGGCTTGTTTATCATTTGGATTATATTTTGAAAGTGAGAGAGAAAGTAAAATTTCAAGAAATGTCCCAGCTTACCAATATCCACCGTAGGTTAAATGGTTTAAATGACCAAAATACTTAATCATGCATGGATGATACTGAACAAAATAAGCAGCCCATTTATTTTTATATATATATGTTCTTTTTTACAACCAATGTAGAACAGTGCTACACATTCTGTGACTGTCCAGGACCAGGGTAGCATAGAGCAGTGCTACTGACTCTGTGATTCTCTAGGACTATGAAAGTGTAGAGTAGAACTACTGACACTGCAAACTTCTAGGACCAGGGCAGTGTAGAGCAGTGCTGTTGCCTTTCTAGGACCAAGAGAGCGTAGAGGAGCACTACAGATTCTGTGACTCTCTAGGACCAGGAGAGCGTAGAGGAGCACTACAGATTCTGTGACTCTCTAGGACCAGGAGAGCATAGAGCAGCACTTCTGACTCTGTGACTCACTTGTTGTGAAGCAGCCTCACTCCTCCAGCTTTCTGTATCTCAATTGAATGTTGTCTCAGTGTTTGCATGGATTTTTGCTTCAGTCCAAAGACTTTTAGGTGAATTGGTGTCAGCAAATTGCTTACTGAGTTTGTCCCATGTGCCTTCTGGAAGTGGGTGCAGGCTTGGCTTGACTATATACTGTAAGTGGGTATAGGGGATGGAGGAATGAACCATCATCCAAAGAGGAAGGAAGGATGGGCATCCTCTCTTATTAGATGTTATTTGTATGGATTATAGGACAGACATTAACAAGACAAATGTGTCTTTACCAGAAAACAGGACAGAGATTGACAGCAAGAATTTAATTACACTGTGGCTTTACGCTTCATACTCAAGGATTGGTCAGTGGTTTGCCTATTTATAACTACCAATGCTGCTGGTTTAGTGTGTCACTGCTCAGATTTGAGGAATGTCCAGCTGTCCGATTTTAAATGCAATGACGGGAAGGTTTTCGTTCACTTCTTTATCAAGAAAACAACTTCACTGCAGATCTGAAAGGCAGCTCAGATTTTACCTGTAAGTAACATTTATGCCAAATAAACATATAAATGGAAAATGGTAAAATAAGTTTCTATGAATATGAACTATTTTTAGCCATAAGTTTCTCAGGTCATAAAACTACCAAAACAAATCAAAATTAAATAAATGCTACTAAGAGTTATTACAAACATAACTTATGTGGAGTCATATAATAATTTTAAATGTCTGTAGCATAAATATTAAAGTGACAAAAGTTTATATATACTTTTTCCTCAAATAATCCACGTCTTTTTGGCTTTGTTTTCCTCAAATGCATGGCTGTGTCGTGTTATTGAATGGTTATGCCTTTTTAAAAATGCTCTCTTTTTGTATACAATAAATAAGAGGATTTCATACCATTTTCTTCATTTGGATGTTTCATATATGTCTTGATCAATTTCTTTAAATAAAATCAAAGGACTGTAACTTTATGATACATCTAAAATCTTTCTAGAACCTTACCCACCCTTTGTGTAAAGCAGACACATTGGTGTAATGGCTATTTCTCTGCCTTTGCATAAGGAAGTATGTTTAAAAATAAGATATTCTAAAGCACCATGTCAAAACACCTCCTAGGTTTTGCAGTGTCTCTGATCAGTTTTGCATGCAGACAAACACTGTTTGAAACACAGACCAGGTTTCCTTCTGCCACAGTACACATGTTCCTGTATGAACACTGCTGCTATTTTCCTGCTATCCTGTGCTGCATTTACTATGCACTGGCAGACATGCTGCAAGCCCAGTGATCGTAGACCTGAAACTGAATCTGATCTTTTCACTTTCCTATTTCCAGATGAGATCGACATGGCTTCCGATCACCCCTCCAAACCAAACCCGTCCCCCTCTGACCCCCCTTCAGTCTCTCTGCCATCTGTAGTCTCCCCGTCAGGCTTCGAGGATCCACCCCCCACCCCTTCTAAATCTAGTTTGTTGTGGGGTTATTCCAGAGGCATCAAGGCTCTGGCCAAGCAGCTGACACAGGAGAAGGTGATTGTAACTGACATGCCAGAAGACATGTCATCTGTGCCCTCTAGTGGCAGCTCTCTGCCAAACACGAGTAAGTGAAAACCTTTAAGGGTGTCAACAGAACCGGTTACAATTCATCCCTACACATGGAGCTTTAGAGTTTGCTAAACCCTGGTTCCACATCACAGAGATTGTATTACA